CATTGAATCTTTGTAACTGCTTTCCAAACGAAATTTCATTGCTAATTCATTTTATTTTTTCTGAAAATTTTTTTGAAGAATTTTTTTCTTTATTTTCACAGGCAGGGCAGACCTTCTTATTCAATCACATCTTCCCCAGACAAAATGGGACTCTCCAAGGCATCACATAGAAGCAATAGAGAATTATTGTATTTCTGGTTTATATAAAACCATACAGGTCTGTCAGTCTAACAGAATTAATTCAAATGAAATCTTAATGTCTAGGTTAAACAGAAGCAAAGTTCTATTTTTCAATTACAGAATATCTAGTCTACAGGTCTTTTTCAGGGACCTTTTATGCCACTATCTGAAAGCAGTCTTTCTCTTCAGCAACAGATTTCTACTTATCCAGAGCTGGTGGTGCATCTGCTATAAGAAATTTTCATTATTCTCTGCAAACTAAGTTGATTGGATTCATTTTAATTTGGACTTCAGTATTGGACAAGTTCCCTCTCTTCCCTGTATACCAAACAGAGATAAAATGGAGCCAAGTTTCTTTCTAATGTTTTCTTCCTTTTCCAAACTTAAATCTTGTGTTGCCGATTGTCACATTTCTTTCTCCAAGGGCATCTCTGTGCTTCTCTACAGCAATGCTCCTCTCACCTAATCAGTATCCTATTAGGCATGTCAAGTCTTTCAACACATCTCACAGGGGCTTCACCTTGTTACATATTGACTGAGCATCCACCAATACCAGACTGAGGGCAAGCTAAGCTGTCTAGCAAACTATCGTCCCCCTGGTCCCAAGAAAGGGGTGTTTGGGTTATCGGAGGGAGCCTGCACTCCATTTTTCTCCTTTTACAAAGGGAATTAAAATATTGGCAATTCTTTTCAATTTTAATTAATTCTCAATTCAGAAAACGATTCTTTTTAAAGAGGCAGATTTTAAAGAAAAACCAAATGCACAGGTATAGTATAAGTGGTACTTGGTTCAATAGTAGCAACTTGGAGTCCTAGTGGACAATGACTTAAATATGAGCCAGCAGTGTGCTTTGAGCTGCCAAAAAACCCAACACAGTTTTAGGCTGCATTAACAGAGGGATAGAATCAAGATCACGTGAAGTGTTAATGCCACTTTATAATGCCTTGGTAAGACCACATTTGGAAAACTGCATCCAGTTTTGCAAAAAAGATGTTGGGACTCTAGAAAGTCAGAGAAGAACAACAAAGATGATTAGGGGACTGGAGGCTAAAATGGTTGCTGGAATTGGATATGTCTACTTTAATGAAAAGAAGGACAAGGGATGACATGATAGCAGTATTCCAATATTTGAGGGGTTGCCACAAAAAAGAGGGAGTCAAGCTATTCTCCAAAGCACCTGAAGGCAGGACAAGAAGCAATGGATGAAAACTAATCACGGAGAGAAGCAAGCTAGAACTAAGGAGAAATTTCCTGACAGAAAAATTAATCAGTGGAACAACTTGCCTTCAGTTATGCATGCTCCAATACTGGAAGTTTTTAAGAAGAGAGTGGACAACCATTTGTCTAAATGGTATAGTGTTTCCTGCCTGAACAGGGAGTTGGACTAGAAGACCTCCAAGATCCCTCCCAACTCTGTTATTCTTTAAATCATAGGATGGCATATGAAGATGGTCTAAAACTTGTCACTTGAATGAAAGCATCAGTATTAGTTTTTACTTGAAAAACTATATAGAAACATAGCGTATGAAGTTGTCAACATTAGATTCTTGCAATAAGAACTTACCACTTTATATAATTGGATCAAAAACAAGTCTAGAATGGTTTGGTAGAGAAGGAAGCTAGAAAACCAGTGAGAAGAAAGCTTTGTTCCATTAAAGTACAAGACATGGTGTACATCAAATTATCTTCAAAAGGATTTCAAGCTAAACTTTTTTCCTTGCAGGATCATTATAGGGCTTATTAACAAATGTTCACTGTACCCAGAAAATGAGATACAAGATAGATTTTTTAAAATTCCTCCTACATAACATTATTAAAAATCGTAAGCTTAATGCTATGCTTTAGACAGAATGTCCTTATGGTGTACTCCACGTTCCCAGATCCTAAAGTTTCTGAAAAAATATATACGCAGATACAAAACTTAAGATTTTCTGAGCTAATTCAATGTTGTAATAGTGATATTCAGATTGTTTTACAATATTACTATCCTGGCAATTCCTGGTTTGGGGCTGGGAAGGATACAAAGAGTTCTTACTTTAAAGCACTGCATTTTGACTTTGCTCAGACTGAGCTGCTACGACTGAGACTATGTTTGAGATTATCTCAAGGTTGCATTATTGTTTTCTTGCCAGATGCATGAAAAATATAATGAAAGTAATTTAAAAGGTTTTGTTTTTAATTACGATACCTATGGATAGGCACATCTGTAAGATTTGTAAGTGGCAGATTTATAAGAATTGAATGTTGTGCTTTGAGTTGCTGTGTGGAATGGAGTATTACCTATCAAAGTGATTACAGCCATTGGAGGAAAGAAGAGAAAAAGAAGGAATGTGCAACTGATGCTCCAGCAGGAATAGGGAGAACTGGGAATACAGATCAGTTAAGCAGAGTAGTTGCTAAAAGGGTTGGAGAATGGAAAAAAGGAGTGACATTGGATGTCTAGAAGATGCCTGGAAAAAGAGGGGATTTTGCTTTTTCTTCTCTTCCTCAATACCTTGTAAAAAAGGCTTGGCTTACAAAAATGAAGTAAAGTGAAGTTGTCTAGAGAAGGCATTAACAAATATCAGTGTTTAATTAAGCAACTGTATGACTAAAGGAGGGGAGTCAAGGAACTTCAAAGAAGCTCCATAAATAAATGTATATTAGATTGTCAAGCTAGACATGTAATTAAGGCATGCACAAGCACAATAGAGATAACTATATATTACAAATACAAACAAATTATTTTGTTTGCAATACAGCAATAAACATTACTTTAGTTGGAAGAACATTCCCTTTGAATTAGTTTCTGTTCCTTTTCTACTTCCAAGAGTTTGCAACAGTTGTTTTTCACATAGTCTCAACTGTTCTGGAAATGTTTCAAGCTTGGAATGAAGTGTTTTGAATTGGACAGAGAGATATTTTCAAGCTCAAAATGCTCCCAGAATGACTGACACAGTCCAGTTCAAAGTTGAAAGTGTTTTAAATTTAAAAAGTTTGCAGTCCACTACTGGCATTATATTTATTGTATGTTCCATTTAAGGACAAGGGTTGCTTTATTTCATTATTTGTTTATTTGAAATTTCAGTTATATTTACTGCCTATTGTCGGCTGATAGATTTAACTAGATAATACATTATCATGCATATTTACTGAATGATCCCACCTAAAAGAATGTAACATTTAAAACAGCATTACGGGAAGGAGGAAATTAGATGACAAGAACTTTGGTATAGGAAGCCCATTCAACATTTTGATCCTATCATGGAGGTTTCCCATCATGTTTGGAAGAATTCCAAATTGACAAAAGTCTACTCGTCTGGGGTCAGCTGTCCCATCAAAACCAAAACTGCATATGAACAAGCAATTATGGTTTAAGGTGCTGGCCTAGAAACTGGTACACTGTGAGTTCTAGTCCCAATTTAGGCATGAAAAACCAGCAGCCACATTCTTTCAACCTAACTCACTTCACAGGGGTGTTGTAGTAGAGAAAATAGGAGGAGGAAGACTGAGATGTTTGACACCTTGAGTTGTATATGAAAAAAAATTGTGGGTTAAAAAAAACCCATCAGAGTTGGTTTTAAATAATAATTTAGATTTTGCATAATGTCTGAAATGGACCAATGGACTAGATCAGGGGTAGGCAACCTTGGCTCTTTTATGACTCGTGGACTTCAACTCCCAGAATTCCTGAGCCGGAGTTGAAGTCCACGAGTCATAAAAGAGCCAAGGTTGCCTACCCCTGGACTAGATAGTCCTCGACTTATGGCCACAACTGAGCCCAGAATTTCTGTTGCTAAATGAGAAATTTGTTGAGTTTTGACTCATTTTTCTTCCCACATGTGTTAGGTGAATCACTGCAGTTGTTAAATTAGTAACATGAACCTGGCTTCCCCATTGACTCTGCTTGTCAGAGAATTGCAAAAGATGATCACATGATCCCAGCACACTGCAACACTCGTAAATATGAACCAGTTGTCAAGCATCCAAATATAAATCACGTGACCATAGGGATGCTGCAACGGTCTTAAGTGTAAAAAATGGTCATAAGTCACTCTTTTCAGTGCTGTTGTAACTTTGAACGGTCACTAAATGAACTGTTGTAAGTCGAGGACTACCTATGTAGGTTAAAATGACAATGTTATGAAATATAAATTTGTATTTTCTGTAAGCAATCATTTCCCCCTATATTTTAATCAATTTGCACTTTCCTACATCAGTAAAATACAAGGGCAATTTGGAAATAATCCTGTTTGGTTATCAATGACAGACACTCGCAGATACAGAACTTTTATTATACACATTATAACATGTTTAGTCTTCTAATGTATATAATAAAAGTTCTGTATCTGCAAGTGTCTGTCATTGATAACCAAAAAGAGATTTATTTCCGAATTGCCCTCATAAATTTACTTGTTCAGCCAGTATTTTTAATATAGAATACCTAGTTTCAAATAGCACATTGAAACACAATGTAGGTGAAAAAAACAAACTGCAATTTTGGAAGCATATGTGGTTGATGGGTTAAGGATGTTGCATCTCCTCTCTTTTTCTCCCAGAATAAAATACCTTTCTAGTGGATGCTTCTGTGGATATTTGTGCATCCTTAACACACTGTATCAGAGCATATGTTACTGAAGAATTCACGTTTCTATAGTATTGCTCTTGGAATGCTGAATTCTCAAAAGAAGTCTTCAAATTGTGATACCTTTTACCCAAGTAAATATTGGCTTACTCCATTCAATGGTAGAAATCTATTTCAGTGGAACATAAATACAATTGTGTGTGTAAAATAAAGCAGTAATTCAATATATAAAAATAACACTGTACTGCAACATACCTCATTGCCACATTGCTGCCATCAATAACTATTGGCCTCAGGTTGTCACCATCCACAAGCACATCCTCCTGAAGGGGAGAGTCAGATCTCTGAGAATCAATGGAAGATGCTTCTCGCATTACACTAGTGTTAATAGAAATTACATTCTGATCTGCCTCAGTTTTATTTCCAAGTTTGACAAGTTCCCCCAATATATCATTGATTAAAGCATCAGTACCAAGTTTATTCAGCACAAGTTGAATTTGTTCTTCAGAGTAACCTAACTTAAGTGCAAAGTCAAGTTTGGTTTGATATTCTTTCACCATATCAGGAGGTTTTTTAATTTCTTTAGATCCTATCTGAACTTCCTCCAACTTAATGTCTTGTAAAATTTCATTGCGCTTTCGAATATGTGGTTCTAAACATGAATACGTCTGTCTGTGATCCTTAGATAAGGAGCATGGTTCTGTTCTAATTTTAGCTGCTTTTCCCAATTCATTATCAGAATTTGTATTTTCCTCAGAATCACAACTGAAGGTTCTGGTTTCTTCAGATAGTTCTTTCTTAGGATCCTCCTTTCTAGAATTAATTTTATCCATAGTTGGTTTTTCTATCATTGACCAAGGTGCAATTGCACTTATTTGAGTCTCTGATGTATCCTCATAGAGGTGACCGAGGTCATGCTTCAAGTGATCCTTCAAGCCCATGAAGTTGCCGCATGTGATTGACTCCACTTTGTTGGTTTTTCTGTGTACAAAGTATCTTGTAGTCCTAAAAAAGAAACAATAAAATTAAAACTAATTTTTGAAATGTACTTTGCAATTTTCATTTTTTTTAATATTGGATCCAAATTTTCTTTTGTTCACCGCATTATGAAATGCCTGATACGCCCTGCATGCAAATATGACTTTGAGAAGCTTCTGAAATGAATGTTCTCAAAGTACAAAGCAATTTATGAGACTGAATGTCTAAAAAAGCAGAAAGAAAAAAAGATTTCCTCTAATCTATAAGTAGCAGCAAGCAAAAAGGAAGCCCTTCCAACACAAATTTTCTAAATCAGTTTCCATATATATAAAACAATACTGTGTATAGGGAAAATGGTTATATATAGCATAAAAGGATGGGGGGGGGGAACTGAGAACAATACAGATTACTGGATTGGGAGTGAAAATAGAAAGGTACTCTTTTTCTCCTCAACAAGTGTCCAACATTATCACATCTGATGACAACAGCCATCTGTTTGACACAGAATATCCTCAGAAGCCTAAATTTGTGGATTAGGGCCAATGGACAAAAGAAATGATTTTTGTCCCCTCTTTCAAAAACATTTAAAAATTAGTCCTAGATTACTTGTAATCTAGTATGTAACTTTTACATACATGGTTGAAACTTTCCTGAAGCCCCAGGGTAACAGCAAAAGTTTTAATTTTGAAGCTTGAACTGTGCAGTCTGGAAATATTGGTATTTTTAATGTGTAATGTTAGAAATGTAACCTGTCTAAATTGTTCATCATGTAGGGAAATTGAGTTTATAATTATCAGTAAAGATGGTCAAAAAGTTCATAATTTATTCCCACTGATCTATTTTTCTCCAATATTTTTCCTTTTCTTTGCCCAGCTGTTAAAAATTAATTTCCAATATTATTTGTAATTAGATTTTCCCCTGATGTATATTACTATAAAATTTAACTGGATTGCATAGCTCATTTTAGTCTCTTTACAGAAAGTCTGCTTGTTTTCTTTAATTACTCCATTTTATTTCAAGAATGCAGGACTACAATAATATCAGTGTTGACAATGAAGACAGAAAAGGCTTAAGTTTATTAACATAACCTTTTGGTTCATTCAAACAATGCTATAGGTCAAATACATGGTTAATTCAGAAAGTAAAACTAAACAACATGATGATTTTCTAACTGCTGCAATTCCCTCAGTCCAATGCCACTGATAAATTACAACAGTATAAAAGAATACAGTTTAAACCAACACTTTGGTGGCCTTCATAAACTACAACCAAAATGTACCTTAGAAAAAGAAAAAAGAGATGGAAAACTATGTTGCTTAGCAACTAGCTTTTCGTTGCTAGGATGCACTCCTTTAACAAGCTATCATGAATGCTAGCAGAGTGCAGGAATAATTTAGTATGAACAAAGCCTATAAAAAAAGAAGGGGACTTAAGTGCGTCTGGTATACCCTTGGAGAACAATGCAGCTGCCAAATGAATCTGGAAGCTCCTACATCATTGTTCCATAAACCCTGCAAGCTGCTGTGATTGAAGGAAATTATTTAACAGGCAACACTTTTAAACTGAACTAAAAAGTTCAAATTGGCTCCTGTACTGCAGTAGTTAATAGTTAATATGTCGAGGTAATGGACCACTCTTCAAGTGCATGCATCATGCCAGTACTGCCTCGTACTGAAATATTTTCTTGAAGCAACAACCATCAATTTCAATTGGATTTCGGTAAGACTGGGCTCTATTTACACACTGTCATATAACACGGACATAATCAGAATGCAACTTCTTATCTAATTTAGAGCTGAAATTAAAAAAAAAAGGTAAGAAAAATCTTACTTTAGTAATTATTTTAGTTAAAGGACATATAATATGTGAAAACTGTAAATAAATGGAATCTACAAAAGTGGCCACTTCTAACAAAACATCATGAGAAGAAATTCCACAGTACGAATTAAACACTGAATATAAACTAAGCCACGGTAGATGGTATCTGCCAAGAGAACCTTCTTGCAAAAATGCTTACATTCTAATTACAAGCATTATGTGGAAATCCACAATGGATATGGGCAACTTATTAACATTACCTGAAAATAAAAAAAATGAGGAAAAGCATAAAACTACTAATATAATTAATTTTTAGATAAAACACCACTAACCCTTATGGTTACTTGAAAAAAGTTCCATTGATTCAGTGAGATTTACTAAAGAGTAAATGCACAGAAGACTGCATCCATAACACAGTTTTTCTTAGAATCCTCTATAAAGTCCCAGAAACACTCCCATATTTCAAATCTATAGATTTTATTGCTTCATGGAAAGTGGCAACAATAACTTCATTTCTTTATTAAAATTATGTCCCACCATTCCAGGATTTCAACACAGCATTGTTTCCTCTATTCACCCACCCGGAAACAATCCCATTATGGTATAGATAGGGTTGAAAAAGATTGACTGTCCCAAAGTCACCCAGTGAACTTCCATAGTCAGAATGCATTTGAACTTGAGTTTTCTTGGGTTTTTTTAGCACTTTAATAATTGTGCTTATTGGTTCTTATGAAATATTTAGAGTTGCAGTTAAATGTAGAAGACTTTGGAGATAACATCTGCTGCATTGTATAGTACAAATAAACTACAGGCACATCAATTTTAAGTAACAAATAAATGCAGTGGAAACAGCTACTCATATTTTGCAATGGAAAATCATTGTTAATCTTTTAAATAATGTACTGAAAGGGGTCTTACTAAAGTATGATGAAATACAAAGAAGAATTTACATGAGGTCTGCTTATTATTTTGTCCAACACACATAGATCGTATCATCTATGAAAATTTCTGCCTTGACGCAAAAAAAAATTACTAATATATTTGTCAGCATTTTACAGCAATTGTTTTCAATAGCAAGAATATCATGAATATATCTTGAATGAGATGCTACATGACCAAGAGATCTGAATTTTCAATAAGATTACAATTAGAATATAAGACAAGTAATATAAATATTGAAATACTAAATTACAAATCAAAATAATGAAAACAGTATGTAACGTATCTTCTACAGGACTTTTAAGTATTTAATTACTCATGTATTTCAGAGAATGATGCAGACAACAGGCCTCATGCTAACAAAGGAAAGATGTCCACTTGAACAGATTGGTTAATGCTCTGGGGCAACAGATGTCTACTGGAACCACGGGAGATCAGCAACTGGTGGCCTGCCCATCTTCTGAAAACTTTCAATAGACTTATGCATATGTTCACACAATAGGGCATGTGGTAGAAATGCAAACCTCTTTTTAACCCTTTCAGTGTCTCCATTTCCTTCCAACTGATCCTTTTTTTCTCATCTCATCCTGATACTTGAGCACAAATAAAAAGCAAATCAAAATTCCCAGAATTAATATAGCACAAGCTATAAGCTTCTGCACTCTCAGAACATTAATATCAAAATATCCTTTGATTATATCCTTTGTAAAAGATTAGGAAATCATATTAACTTTAATTCATTCCTTAAACACTGATCTGACATCTTTCCCAGCTTTTCAGCCACTTGTTCATTCTACTAAACAAATGTCCTAAGTTTGTTAGTTGTTTAATCTCAGGCTAAATGCTATTCAAAATTATTCCAATTGTTGTGAGATTTGTACTATTACCCATTTCTATAACATTTCTTTATTTAAATGTACAAGATTTAAACAAGACTTTTCAAAATGTTATTGTTTGAAGTTATAGTTTTTACAAAGTTTCTTTCCGTTGATATTGCACTTACATTCAGGCTGCAAAAGAATAAATTGGTAAAATCTGAAAAAATTACCACATGATTCATCTCTTGCAAAGACAAACGCTTACCTTCCGGCCAGCACAAAATACTGACGTTTTGCAGCAGTTCCAAAAGCACTCCTTAATACAACTTCAGCTTCAAACTTCCAGGCAGGCAAACAGAACAATGAATGGTTGGGCAGATGGAATAGGTTTTTGTTTAACCTATTACTGAGCAGAAGAACCACCAATCACGATGCAGGAAAAGGCTCACAATTAGTTGGCCAGGCAGATGCACAGCAAACTCTCCACCCTAGGTCAGGTTTGTAGATTTCTTGCTTTCTAAGAGAAGCGAGCTGATGTCATTCTTAGGTCTGCCCCTGGCAGCATGTGTAATAATAAGGGGTGTGCTACAACAATAGCCCATACAAAAGAGACTAGCAGGCAGCTGCTGTATGAGAGCCAGAGTCATTAGAGAACAGCCTGCCAACAAAAAACACCTGGCCTAAGCAGACTTCAGCTTTTCCTCATTGTTTCTAATTCATGAAACAAAGAAAAGGAATTATTTCTGAGTGGTAAGAGTTGCAAGGAGTGTTCAAAAAAAACAAAAACCTCAAACAAACAAAAAACCCCATAGCCTTGTCACAAATAACTTTCACTTCTACTGGAAGAGAATGGTGCTGGAGAGGTGGCATACTTTTTACCTGCATTCTCTTCCAGGTTTTAAATTGGAAAATCAAATAGGGGCAGTTATAAAAAGTGCAGAAAGGCATCGACACAATTTGCCAAAGTGCCCTTTGTTACCCTTGTTAATGGGTTTGAATAGTTTTTTTAAAAATCATCATTTCTGTCCATGTACCACAACCTCTATTGAACAAATACATTTCAACAGAATAAAATGAGACAGTGCCAGTTGACTTTCTTTTGGAAATATGTTTATTCAGAAGTTTCTAAAAGCATCTGAAAGGAAACAGAAGTCAGCCATGGTTTGAGGGATGGAAAGAGTTGTGATAATATCTTCTTATAAACGAACAGTTTTGAAAGAAGTATATATATTTCCAATGATATTATTGGCCACCATTTCAGTGTTTATTGCTTTAATAAGAGTTTTAGCCTGGTTTTCAGTCTTAACAAAATTCAAAGCATGGCATTTAATCTTAACTACAGTCAAATATGATAACCCAAATTCAGAAGAACCCCGCAGATTTAGCATGAAAACTTATCTTACTGGATAAAAAAAAATCAAATACAATAACTAAAATCTCTCTATTATTCTGAAAACTGACCTTGTAGAGAAATGACCATCTGTCTCTTTCTGCTAGCAGATAAAATCAAGTATTTAGTAAGCATAACAATGTACCAGAGAATATGAAGAGTTATTAATTGGAACACCATTTTTTCTAGCTATCCATAACTGGAACCCATAATCCTAACATATACGTGCTTTTGCTGACGTATGATTCTAACAACAAATGATGATGTGTCTAATTTTTCTGAGAATGGCATTAAGCAAACTGACATGGATAGAAATCAACCATCCAAAAATATAATTAAAATGTTTTATTTTCAGGCTTTCACTGATATTTTAGGGGTTCAAAAATAGGAGGCATCACCCTCAATTTCGGCTGCTGTAAACACAAAGAAAGAATGGAAACTACCTTAAACCACAGCAGGATGCCTGATCTCTAGCACTGGATTAAGCTGCTTTGCAAACAGTGAATAAAGGCAGAGATCTGAAAAAGCTAATCAGTCCCTGCTGTGATATTTAGACTGCCACAGGTATCAGTATTGGATAATGTTAAGCATATTAAAAATATCTGTCAGTGAAATGGAGGATCAAAATCTGTTTTAGGGAGCTGCACATTGCACCTGGCAGAATTTATATGATGATGTAGAAGTACTTTTCAAATAACTCTAGAACTATTTATTTTGGTAGGGATGGGATGGATAATATGCTCATAATCTTCATCTAACACAAACATTTCTTGATTTGTATTGTAAATAGTACATGCAAACACATATACACAAATGCTAAAATAGCTTAGAAACCCGAAATCCAAATGCTTTCTACAAACCCAATAAAATTATTTATCATACCATTTAAAATGTAAAAGCTAAAACACTAAATTCAGATTGCCCAGCAAAATAATTGCCACCATTCTGCCCTTTGAAAACAAGCTGTTTCACAATGCAGATGTGAGTTGGTACCCTCTTGGTCTCTTAGAAGCTAGAACAATTTGTTTCATAATGTAGGAGTGGCAACTGAGAAGACATTTCCTTTATTTCCCACCCTTCATTCTCTTGGGAGAACAGAATTATTCTGAAGACACCCAAGATGGCTGAAGGAGAGATCTGACAGATATCAATTTACATGGAACTTTACTGGCTAACATCAGCCTGGGAACAAGAGGCATATTGTGTTGTTGAAGCAGCTATCACCTGCCAACAAGTAGAAGTCCTAAGGAAGAGTATACTACAGAAGCTTAACTTCAAGAAGATATGTTTTACTGGTCTGCTCCTACAAAAAGTGTTAAAATTGATGTACCAACCAAAGGTGGACAAAGTCACAGCCTTTAACTCCTGATCAAGCAATGGCATTCAGCTACAACTTTGCCAATAAGGCACAGAATAAACTGTGCAGGGTCTTAGTATCCACCTCAGTATAAATCTTACATCTGACAATGTTAGTGTCATGTTAAATAGATGTCTTTCTTTTAAAACAGCATTTTGAAACGCCTATTTGCCTTTTTTAAACAAAAGGAGCTAGCTTATTTATGTTTAAGTCTCTAAAAAGCATTAGCTCAAAACCCAGTTTGCTATTTCTTGTTGACATAATTCTAGTATTTATTTATTTATTTATTTAGTATATTATATAGATTTGCTTTCATACCATTCTCTGAAATATTGTAAATTAGTGATAGAAAAAGTTAGACATTGTGGAAGTTATTGAAATTAGTCAAGGTTGTTGTTTTTTTAAAAAAAAAATATCATTCATGCATCTGTAAAGTATTTGTTTTAAATGTTAAACTAATATCCTAGACTTCATACAGTAACAAAGACAATAAAATATATTGGCAGAAAGTAATAATGTACGTTTCTTGTCACATTGATAACAATGAGCACTGACATTACAAGAAAAGACATTGATCAGAAATAAAAAGTACACTTTAATTCTGCATTAAAGTTTTCAGATCCAGGAACTTAATCAGTCTAATTATTATCCACTGCTATATTTAAAACACAGTGATGACATTTAACAGTTGCTTCAGATCAAGGAAAAGTGGCCTGAAGATATAATTTCTACAATTTTAGGGCGTTTGCCTTGAGAGACCAGATTTTCCTGGCAGAAACCAGAAAAACCTAATAGAGTTCATTAATGAATACTGATAGATATATTTCATTTAGAAGTTTTATTTTAATTCAATAGTTATAACTAAATCCCAAATAATATAGTACTCAAGAGTGCTACTCAATTTATTAAATATAATTTCTTGCTGATTACTTCTCTCCAACATGTGTTTTAATGAGATGGTGATGTTTCCTCAGTATCACATTAGGTTCCATATAATTCTGAATTCCAAACTTAGATTGTTTATTCCGTGTCAGATGATCTGTTAGAATTACTCATAACTGTCAAGACACCTTTAACCAAAAGCATTTTGGTTATAGGAACTAGAAGTAAACAAGATGAATAAAAATCAATGGTTTTTTTTTTAAAAAAAACAATTTTTGATGCTCATATTTAGTTAAAATATTCTTAAATGTTTCATAAAAATAAACAAATATAATTTCTAATTAACTCCTTTCTGCTTGCTATTAAGAATGTGAGGCACTGCATTCTATTTAGAAGTTCAAATACAAAAATCAGTGAGTGCAGAGCACATTCCAGCAGTTTTGAAGATTTGAAAAACAAATTTCTAGTCATAAAGTACATTTTCTTCTGACTAAAATCTAACCGTGGCAAGAATACCCTAAATGGAACCCATTTGGGAATATATTCCTATATAGTGCAGGTAAAACAGACATGACTTGTGCGTAAAAGCAAAATGCAAATAACGCATAAATAACACAAGACCTGATTGCCAAATAAAGTATCATTAAACTTGTTCCTCTTCTGAAAATGTCAAAAGGAGCATGATCAATCACAGAGGATTGTCCTCCTCATTAATATACTTTTTCCCTTGAAGCTTGTCTAGTCTTTTTCTTAGAGATTTCTCAAGAACTTATTAGAATTCTTGAGTTTGAACAAAAATTTAATTGTTCATTATAATAATTTAATAGAGATAAATAAAACAGGCAGATATTCGTCTTAATGCCCACTTTCTTCAATGCAGTATGCACAATTAAATTCATTTCTCTTACACAGGTGGATAGTTGCCTAACCAGATCATCTTAAATGTCTCCAAATGATGGATACCTTTTCAGATGTCTGACAGCAATGCTCCAGCTACATATTCACATAGTATGTCAGTAAAAGACACAGAAAGAAACTCCTTCAGGTCAGTACATAGATTACATTTTAATAAAAAACAAGAAATTATACCAAGATTAATTAAAGCACTATTTTTAATATCACAATCTATTTTTGTATGATTGAGAATGCATGACTAATTGGCATGGTGCCACAATATTGTTCATGCAAAAGAGCAAACATTGCTGGGAAATGGTTGAATGAAGAGATTAAGGAAGTACTTAGAAACATGCAAATAATTTAGAGGAAAAATTGTTATCTGGGGATATGGAACAACAATTCCACTGCATGTGTTTAGTAAGGAAAGCATCTTCCTTACTAAAAAAAAATATACACCAGGAAATCCATCCACTGCTAACTATTTATAAATAGCAGTAAAACAGTCAAAATTTCAAATTCTGCCATGTATAATGCTGCAAATGTTCAAGAAAAGGATATGTATGTATGTATGTATGTATGTATGTATGTATGTATGTATGTATGTATGTATGTATGTGAGAGACTGAGAGTCTAGGTGGTGATTGCTCAATTAAGTGCAATGCTCCAAAAGCAAAGGTGAATGTAAGCAGACAATGCAAAATACTTCTACAGTAATTGCTTCAATTAATTCTCTGATAAGATTTCCAGTGGAACACATTTGTGAATTGTTTGGACTCCAATATTACAAACTGGCCTATTTAGATGGCAATTTAT